AGGATGAAGACAAAAAGCCCTGCATTGTGTCCAAAATGCACCCCTCACCCTCCCCTCCCTCTGTTGTTTTCCTCCTCTTCCCCCTGACAGGCTGCTGAGAAGCCCTTAATATGAAGGCTCATTGGTTGTGAATGTTTTATGGTATTATGTCTGTACCAGGATTTGAGAGTATGTGTGTGTGTGCTTATTTTAATCTGAGAGATTTGCATCACACTCCCTTTGCTGCTTGCAAAACAGGCCTTATGAAGCAGAGACAATAACATAATTATGAAAATGAAATGTGTTGGGATAGAAGCTAATTCAAATTCTAGATCTGGGAAATATTATTACACCACAAGCCAAAATGCATCCAACAAAACTCAAAGTTATTTCATAACTGCTAGACAGATGATAATAACGTTGGTGCATAATTTTAAAAACAGCATTAGTACATCTTTATGTGCAGCTCACACTCATTTCCTTTGAAAAGTGCAATTAAATGTTAATCATTTAATTCAGAACTTAATTAATTAAATTGATTAAATGATACACAAACAAACTAAACTTGCTTAAATGTGCCAGTTTTAGCTTGTGCCAAGAGTCTTGGTCAAAAATGTTTTTTGTGCGATATAATGTCCTTCTCTGCGTGGACCTGCATCAAAAGGAAACGATCACTAATTGGAGTGAAGGAACCGGCTAAACCTTGCATGAAATTGCCATCAGTGGTCCATTGTTGAGTGTGTGTCCCTCTGCAGCTCCACCCCAGCAGTCTGCCCATTGACTTCAGAGGGTGCTCACTCAGCTATGAAGCCGGTGGTGTTGCAGGGTGGAGCGAGGAAGATGTTTGTGTGTGTGAGGAAAATAATGCATGGCTGTCTGCATCTGTGAGTGACATGGGAAGAGATAACAGGCATATTTATTGAACTATTTATTTTTCTTCTGAGGGAGTTCTTGTATTTTGCTTTACAGTGAGAAAGTAAAGGGGAGAAGTGAAGGAGAGGTGCATGGATGTAGGGTAAAGAGGGTGTTGTGTGAAGGGGATAGATGGAGGAGGGTGATAGGAGGTTGATGGGGGGGGGTTTCGTAAGTAGGGTGGGTGTGAGATAAAATTGGGGCGGTGTGTGTGGCGGGGGTCTTGGATTGGACTGTAATCCTTTAGTCCTGGTTTGAAATAACCCTGCACAGTCTGGGACAAACAATATGACAGGGTCTCTCTCTCTCAGACACACACACACACACACACACACACTGAACATATTGCCTCGCTCACAGTGGTGAGACTGGCTTTGGCTGACGTTACTTCATCATGACAAAATGTCTTCAACGGGAGCTCACTGATCTGCAAAAGAAGGTTTGTTCTTACTTCTGTAGAAGAGAGTTTACATTTTACGCGTTAAGTGAGATTATTTTGGTGGTGCATAAATTAAAGAGAGCATGTTGCACTCAGCAGTGCAAGTTTGAGGATATTCAGGGGTGACTGTTTGTCTAATATTGAAAAATGCACAAATGGATGGGCTGTTCATGCTTGAAATCCCTTCAGTGTGGCTAAATTAAAACAATTCTGCGAAGAAGAGTGCGCCAAAATTCTTCCACAGCAATGTGAAAGACACACTGCCAGTCATTGAAAATGCTTAATTGCAGTTCTTGCTGCCAAGAGTGGCACAAGTAGTTATTAGGTCTAGGGGACAATTACTTTTTCACACAGGCCCTGCTAGGTCTGGATAGTTGTTTTTCCCTTAATTATTAAATAATTGCATTTTGTATCGACTTGTGTTGTTTTTGTCTAATATTAAAAATTTTGGATCGTCTGAAATATGTAAGTGTGACGAATACACAACAAAATAAGAAAACAGGAAGGGGGCAAATGCTTATTCACAGCACTGTATGCTTGAGGTCATTAGACACGAACAGCACTTGGCTTCCTTCTGGTGAGGTTACTCTTGTGGTCCTATTTTGTTTTTTCTCAGTGCTACATCTGGTAGCATTAAACTATGGTTTTTCTCAGATTGCAGTCACATTTCCCAAACATTGCTCACAGATATGTATGTGAGAGTAAGTAGTCACATCATCAAAAGTAATATTACTCATGTGATATTGAATATAATATTGAATAGTAGTAAGGTCATTCCAAGTAAAATCAGTCAATCTAAAATAAGGTTTCCATCTGATCCCCTCAGAACATATTTAATGAAGCTATGCAAAATTGTACTTTCCTACTATGAACATTTTTGTCTTTAAAAAAAAATCAGAGTTTAAATGCATTTTAAACTCTGATTTAAAATGCATGTAGCTATCTCCTTTACGTAAGAGGGCTCAAAAAGGCTGGAAAAATCAAGACAAATTCAAACGCACCACCTGATGTACTGCGAGGGTCTGTGCATCAGAAAATACTCATTTTGCATGGTTTCAATAAATCAGTTGTTGTATAAAAACAAAACAAAAACAGCTGATTCTCAAGGGATCAGATTGTCAGCGATTATATAGTAAAGTGGGAAAACCTATGGCTTATTTAAAAAATACAGACATCTGGACACTTTTCCATGCTACTTCCTCTTCTGCAAATGTACAGCTTTGTTGCAACTGTGCTGTTTTTCAACATTTGAGAACTCCATGCATTAATCGTGTGAGCCTCTCATCATGCTTTCTGTACTCTAAAGGTCTCCCTTACTATCTGCTGTCAGTCATTTCTTCTGTTTACTGTCAAGTGGAAAAAACATTTTCACAGGTCATCATTTTTTATATGACTTTATTACTTCCTCACGTTGTGATAGATTAAAATTGTCCCACTCGTCTTTACATTGTTCCTTAAGTTAAGCGAAGTTTTCAGCCATTTGTTTATGCACAGCTCTCCGCAGGTCTTGCCACAGCATTTTAATCGGGCTGAGATCCGGACTAAGTCCAGTTACATTTTCTTTTCCCGCCCCTCTGTTGTAGTTTGCTGGTGTGCTTCAGCTCATTGCAATTTCACATTTGATTTTGAATGCTTTGATATACAGAGGAATTCATGGTCACAGTGGCTACAAGCTGAAATCATCACCCATCCACCACTGTGCTGGACAGCTGGGTGAGGTTTTTTGTACTGCTATGCTGTGTTTGGTTTTGGCAGAAAAATTCTGCTGTGCGTTAAAGTTTCATCTGTCCACAGGACATTGTGTCAGAGGTCTAGTGATTTGTCCAGGTGCCGTGTTGAGAGAGAAGAGACTACCAAACAAAACACAATTGTTTAGTCTTTTTTTCTAATTCTTTTGTCATGATTTTTTTTAACACGCTAAATGTCGTGATTTAGCATGCTAACTGAGGCCTGTAAAGTTGAGATGTAGCATTTGGATTTTTTGCATGTTCTCTGAACATCTGACTTAGAGGTCACTTTGCTGGGATTGTGGCATTGTGTTAACTTACGCTTGAATGCTCCAGACTAATAAACTCACACTTGCTGAATATCTGATCAAGTGTATTTGGTCATCAGCACTTGCTGCTTCTTAACCTCTTTATTCCTTTGCAAGTGAAGGTAAACGTAGTTTACTTCAAAGGACTGCATAGAGTCCTTTCACACGACTGCATGTGTTAAAAACATCTGTCATTGTCTGATGAGTCAGTCCATAGCATACACTTTACTTACTATACTTTGTAGCACCGGCATGCTTGCTACACATGACTGCCTGCTGGAACGAGCTGTATTTAATTGTCTGCTGCCAGACGAACTGCATATAAACAAGTTTCAGGCTAGATGCAAATTTCAGAGATAACACTGGCTTGAAAATGTACAAATGGGCTTGCGTTAAATGAAAACTGCATCATCGCTGTTAGATAACATGTAAAAATAAAGACACACAATGTTAGAGAGAGCTAGAACCTCTTCTGTCTGTTGTGCCACCTGCTGCCAGACTGGCTGTGCTCAGCTTCTGCTAGCACTGTCATATGGCAACCACACGTTTGCATACACACGCGCATGCATGCGTGCTGTAACTATATCTGGTTCAGGGGTGTTGAAGTCTGGCAGGCGGCTAATATTGTCTGAATGCCACATCTTTATGCATGGATGTGCACATTTGCAAATATACAGATAGAGAAAGACAGAGTTACATGTGCATACACACTCACACGCACAGAGGCAAGCAGAGAGGCAGCAGCTGTCTTCTGTCTGAATCCACAATCAACCCAACATCCAAATAACACATTCAAGTCCTTTCTAGTGTAATTTGAGGCCAGACAGATATTGTCGCATATGGCTGTACCTTTTTTTTTTGTTTTTCTTGTTTTAGGGCATCGTGATTTTTTACATTTCACTCAGAATTATTCCAGAAACACTGCTCACTTCTCTGCAATCAGAAAGCCTCTGTAAGAGGTCCTTCCTCTGGCCCCCTAAATGTCTGTGTGCGTGCATGTATATATGCATAGGCTGAGTGGCAACTTCACTATAAATTGGCACTTAAGATTTGAAGCCACACGGCACAAAGGAAAGAAAAGAGTGGAGGAAAAAAAGCAGAGCTCTTTTACCATTTAAGTGCTTTAGTAATCACTGCTCTGAAGGTCTTTTGACATATTTGGATTTGTCAGAAAATCTTGGGTATGTTATTTTTCAGATACGTCTGAATGCTTCCTCTCATGAGCAAAAAGCAGCCTGTGGCTAAATGCGGTGCAGGGTGTCATTTCAAAGTGAAATTCAAAGCTGTTATAAGTTACTGCATCTCCACAGTTGGGCCTTTTAGAGCAATTAGAGCTCTTTTATACAAGATCTTCAAACCATGACTAAACCGCTGCTGATGGTTTTTAGGGTATTGATATTTGGCTTTGCAGAAAACTGTGCACGAGGTGAAACTGACTACTCTAGACTTTTTAAAATGTGTATTTTCCTGTTTGATATACTGCAAGTGTTGTGCCCATAAAGACACCATGTTTTGCTTGTCTAACATTTGTCTGTCTGTTCTATTTAAATAATACTTTTAAACAGGTGATGACATAATCAATCAAATAATGAATCAATAATAATCTTTTGCATTTTCATATGTTTTTGTTTGCAGTATGACCCCGAGAACTCAGGCTTCATCAGTACAGAGCGGTTCAGGGACCTGCTGGCAACCCATGGCTCTGAGCTCGACCCCCACAAACTGGAAGTCCTGTTGGCCCTTGCTGATGGCAATGCTGATGGAAAGATCTGTTATCAGGACTTTGTCAACCTGGTGAGATGATTTAACTTTCTGTAACTCTGTATTACCCACAAAGATGGTTATGTGAGAAAATCCCACTATATCAGCAGTTTCTGAAATACTCTGTCTAGCACCAATATGCATCGACATGTCTACTTGAGTTACTGCCATGTGATTGACGGATTGGATATTTGCTTTGCGATCAGCTGAAAGACTATACTTAAGTGTGTGGTGAGTGTCAAAGACTCAATACTTATGACTTCATGTGGACGTCACACCTTTTCACTTAATTGTGATGACATTAAAGCTTCCACAAACCCGAAGGCTAAAGAATATCTAATACGCCAAAGCAAAACATATGTTGCAAGCAGTAGAGTACAACTCTAAACACTAGAGACATTAAAAAGACTGATTAAAAATTGTTCATAGTACTCTGTATGAGGCCAAAACTGTTTGAAGTATGGCCAAGACTTGTTAATTGTCTCCTAATGTGCAGAAACTAAGATTTATTTGTGACTTGTGGAACATTATTTTTTTGTCACATCTGGAACTTTTTCAGCTTTACATCCACCATATTCCAAAATCACCTCAGCTACACAAGATTGCTCCTAATAGGAAATAACTCCCTGTCTGGTGAGAATTACCCCTCCTAAGGCTTACCTTGCCCCACTTACAGTTTCACCTTCAAACCACAGCCCTCCGCTGATTGTCCAAGGTCTCACTCAAGTCTCTTCAGCCTTGCTAGCTTCTTCATAACCTTTTCTTTTCTTTTTTCTTGCTGCTATACCTCGTGGGAGACTCAACTGCTGACCCAGGATACTGTGAAGTGGTCTTAGGAGTAGTTATGTGGTACACAATAACTACTGGGTGGCTAAGGGATGCGGTGGGGGTGTACATCTCTGTACAGACTGTAGGGAATTCATTGTTGTCTCTGACTGTAAGAGAGTCCATCTCTCCCTGTCTCTCTTGTTCTTCGGAGCTGTTTATTGTGTGATACAGTGGGTGAGGAATGAGGCCTGTAGGAAGCTTGGAAAAATGTCAAAAGGACATTTTCTATTTGGTGCATTAATGTCACGTGAGAGCCTGTGGGTCATGGTGTGCAACTGGAAGTGGGACAGAAAGGAATGGAGGTCTGCATGCGTGTGGATCTTTGTGTACAATATAGTGAAGTATAGTTTCTACATTCACAGAGGCAGCACCAACAGCAGCTAAACACATAAGAGAGAAAGGAGTGACTCATGGTTATGGTAATAAGGTGCGCATGTTTGAGTAAATAGGTGCTAAAATTTCAGATTTGTAAAGCATTTATCATCATCTTCCAGTTACTCAAATGTGAAGATTCCCTGCTTTGCACTGGTGGATTACAAAGGTTGACCATCTTTAGACATTTCCTGAGCTTTGTAAAAAACATAGTAAGTTTTATTTTAAGAAGAGGTTTGTAAAGAAAACTATTGTATACTTTACCTTTTACTGTTTTCACTTGCTAAAATGTTACCTTGCTCTCTTTTGAATGAACAATTTGAAGATGTCAACACTTTGTGTGTTGATGATCAAACCAGTATGCTAGCAGTTGAATTTCGATTACCTTAACACTAACATTGAACTGTTTCGATTGGTCAACAGTAAAAATGTTGTTGGTGGGATCCTTCACATGTGAACCCACAGCTCTGTGAAAAGGCTTGTGAAACATTATATGACTATCTGAAGAAATGCGTGGTATGTAAACACGCAGTCACGATGCTCAAAAGTACCAACTGCAAACTGGGAGCTTGAGGCAGAGAAGGAAGGACTGCAGCAAAGAAAGAGCGGAGTAGAGGAGTAGGGAGGAATAGTAGAAAAGGAGGCAAAGGAAAGGACAGACAGAGACAAACTGTGAGGGTTTTATTTGTTGCGCCATCTCTCCCTTGCACCACAGCTCTTCCATCAGCGTGATTGTCAGTAATTGCCTGCTCACTGCTCCATCACAGTTAGCTTTCATAGCACTGCTCGCTCGCTTTCTTCATCCTCTCTAACTCTTTACCTTTCCATCTGCCTTTCTTGCATTGAATAAACCAGCAGGTTCCAGCTCTTTATTTCTTTCTTTATTTTGTATGCTTATTACATTCTCCTTTACATTTTTCTCCTTGTATTTAACTCTCTCATACATCACTCTGATGTGTTGCATTTTTTTTACAGCTTTCCTGGGCAGAAAATAGCTACGTAATGTGTTTATACTTTACAAAATATCTACACTTTTAACCACTCTGTTTCTTGCCCGAGTGGGATAAATTCAGGTAATGCTTATAACCTATGATGCGTGCTCGCATGTCCTGTTTTGTGTTATGTATACCTGAGAGAGCATGAGCTTTATGTTAGTTTTTTTTCTTCTTTTATGTGGACGTTTGTTTATGCTGGTGTAAGATCTCCCAGCATCTTTTCTTTTGTTTTTTTGATTCGACACAATCGTCGACATTCAGGCAGGAAAACACGTGGAGACAGTGAAACGCAATCCAAGACACATTGTGGAAATGCCAAAACACACAGTGGCATATGAGAAAGGATTTTCTGTTATGACAGTGGAAGTTGTTTTAATTGTTTCACTTGGCTTGGAAAGTAGTCCACCAGGAATGTGGACGGATGACGTTGTTTTGTGTGTTGCGGTAAAAGTTAAGCCTGGTTGAACTTTTTTTTTGTGTGACCACCTTGTGTGCGTGTGTGTCTTTGTCTGTGCTTTTTTAAAAGCCGCTCTGTTGATGCCAACATTGTGCGCTCTGCCAAAAAACTGAGGGTAATCCAACAAAACAGATGAAACTGAGGGCTGACCTGGTGGGGCTAACGGAGGTATTAAGGCATAAACTGCATACTACTATAGTCTCTTTTCAGCCTTCATCATATTTCTTTGTCCTTCTCTGTCCCCTTCTTGTTGTACTTGTTTCTTCCTCTGCCTCTTCTTCCGTCTCTTTTCTCTGATTGTATTTTCCACTGATCAAACAGAGAAATTGTCTCTTCCTAGCCGAACGCTCATCAGTGCCTCTCACCTCTTCTCTGCCCCTCTCCCTTCTCCTCTCGGCAGCGAGAAAACAGACAGAACATTATTCTTTCTTTTGTGCCTCGCAAAGACGAGAGGAATCACAGTTGCTTCACACGAAGAATTGTCTGTCTTTATGGGGCATGGCTGCCTGGGGGGGATGTCTGTGAGAGCGCTTGCTTCGGTGTGCGGTCTCGAAGTGGCCATGGTAACCTGTAATCATTTTCCCACAGTTCTCTGTGACTGATATAAAGGCTGAAATAATTGGCTTTTTTTGAAGTTTGTCTCCAAACAATGAGTCCTGAGACTCTAAAAGTCTCATTAAAAAGCGTCAGAAGAACTATCAGACAACTGTTCAGAGATTTTATTGTTTTTCTGATTTCGTGTATTTCTTCTTATCTTTATTTCTCGTGCCGTTTCTGTTAAACTGAGCTTAGCTGTGATAAGTGTCTTTGCTTTCAAGATGTAAACAAGAAGATAAGCCTGCTGGCTTTAAACTAAAATGTTCCTTCTGATAAGCCAGTGCTCGTACTTGAATAAACATCAATTGAAGCTTTCTTACACATCGCAATTTTGAAGCCAATTTAAAGTTGTAGCTTTTGAAGATCCAGTATTACCGTTCACATCTACCTCTATTGCCAACAGCTCCGCTGCCACATCACATTTATGTTTTTTTTCCCATTCTCTGCCCTTGCTGAAAACAATAACACTCATCCTTATTGCCTTAAAGTAGCATCTGCTAACTGACACATCTGGTCTTCCTGCAGTTCTAGAGACACAGACACAGCCGTAAAATTGAGTTATGGAGTGTCACATAAACAGAGCGGAGCTGGAAACAGATTGGGGGAGGAGGGAAAGACTGGGACCAATAGCCAGAGTGAGAGAAGGATGGAGATGTGGGACAAGAATCTTATGAAACACACAGCAAGTGCAATAAACGACATAGAGACGGCTGTGATTTAGGCAGAGAGCTGGAAAGGATTAACTAGAATTTCTTTTGCCATGTATGCAAAACAAAGGGCCTTACTCAGTTACTCTTAAGATTTGTGCAAATATTTTTTCATCTGTTTATTTGTGGAAAATGTAAAGATAATTAAGTGGCAGATAGCTAAAACACATTCCTATTATTATTCTCACTTTTCTGACCTTCTTAATGTACTGTTACACTCAAACAAAGGCTGCTGAAAATGGCGAAACATTTACAAATGCGATAAAGCCTGGAAACCCTCATTTCTTGTGAATTTTGCACCTTTTTTCCGTGGACAGGTTTGTGATGGACATGTTTGTTCAGCAAAAGATGTGTTAGCTTTTAATGCATGTACGTGTCTGTACTGTTTAATGTAGGGTGGCTGGCAGTGTTCATTATCAGTTCACTGCAGATTATTTTCTTAGTCAGTTAATCGTTTGACCTATTGGATATCATAAAAGTGTGAAAAATGCCTTTGTTCAGCCAACAGCACCAAATCATACACATTCCTGCTTCATTTTTTTGTCCTTCGACTCTCAGCCTGGGTAGTTTTGAATGATTCACGGTTCAATATAATCCTTTTTTTTTATCCTGGGCCTTGGAGCAGTCCCTCAGTTCATCGACTGCATGAAACAAGCCGTTTTATCTCCCTTGTCATTGCCTTTGAAGCAACTTTATTTCGATTGGCTGCCCTTTGTAAACAGAAGATTTGATCAGCAGGTGGGTTTCTGAGCTGTGTACTTGTGATGACCATATTGGCGGTATCTGCTCTCACAGATACAGCAGTTGAAAAAACTCTCTGATAGTGAGTTTTAATAATGGTGGTTATAGTTAGACTGTTATATTAAACTATTTGTACTTACCTCCATGTCCTCTTCAGTTTTCTTCCATTCTTAATATTTCTTCTTCCTCTTTTTATGTTTGTTTCGATAGATGAGCAACAAGCGCTCCAACAGTTTCCGGAGGGCCATTCTGCAGGGCAGCAGGCAGCTAAAAGGCTGCAGTCTCAGAGACGAGGCAGGCTTAGGACTGTCCCAGCGGTTGGTCCGCCACGTTGCCTATGAGACGCTACCCCGTGAGGTCGACCGCAAGTGGTACTTTGACAGCTATACCTACTGTCCCCCTCCCTGGTTCATCCTGGCTATCACCATCGCAGAGGTAAGTTGATGGAACATAAAATGTGATGAATCTTTTAGTAATAGTACATTTTAATATGAATTGACCATGATGCTTTTTAAACGGTGCCCTCTCGTGCACCTCTAGTATGATGTCAGTGTGCCTGTTATACAGCTGTGGTCAGACGTTTACTTACACTCATCATGGATATGATCGTTGTAGTAATTTTGAGCTATTGATTTCTCTGAGCTGTTCTTTTTCCAGGTGGAATGACTGTACGACATATTCTTTAGTATAATGTAATCTTTAATTGACTGCACAATTTTGAATTTAATTTGGATTTTCTCTAATTCACACAGGGTTAAAATTATAAATAAAGGTGCAAATAAATACAAACACAGCCACTAATATTTGGTTAAATGTCCCTCAGTGAGATGCTGAGGGAGCTCCTGGCATGATTTTCGTTGGGTATTTGGACATTCTTCTATATTTAAATCTGTTTGGGTTTTGGGAAGATCATTCCAGAAGTTTAATGTTAGCCTGCTTTATCTATTCCTAAACCATTCTGTTTTTGTGTGTTTGCAATCATTGTTCTGTTGGGACACCCAAATGTGTCCAGGTTTCATCTTTCTTGCTGAGTGGTTTGCAACTTTTAGTGTCAAAAGAACCCTTTTTGCCCCTTCTACCAAACAAAGGGAGAAAAATCACTGCACACGCAGAGGGGTAGTGGGTGGGAGGATGGACGATGGATGGGAGATGTAACTGGGAGAGGATAAATTAGTTTAAATTATTATTTCTTCACATATATATTTATATATATATATATTTTTTACTGATGTCAGCTGAGAAAAAGAGACTCACCAAAACTGTACAATAGAAGACTGAAAAACACGTTACCTATTTGAGAAGTCTCTTTTTCTGCTGTGATATTGGGATGGTGGGGTCAGAATTTGGCATAAAGAACATAAAAGCATGGATCCATCCGGCTTTATGTCAGTGGTGGTGGTGATATAATAGTTTGCCCATATAAGGCGTATATAAAACATTTAATAATAGGATAAACATACAGTGGTGTGAAAAAGTGTTTGCCGCCTTCCTGGTTTCCTGTTTTTTGTATGTTTTTTACACTTTAATGTTTCATATCATCAAATTAAAAATTTAGAAGAAAAACAACAAAACACAAAATGCAAAACATCCAAAGCTTTGTGAGAAAGGGATGGCTCCGCCCCCCAAAATCCCCTAAAAAAACAATAGTATTTGATGTTGATGCCACCACTGATTTTTCCAGGTTAATTTGATTGAAACAATATTAAATCAGAAGCTTTTGCTCAACTCCTGTGAAATTACTGAAGTAATTTATTTGCATTGTTTCTATAATAATCTATGAATGGATTTGTGTATTTGTTATTCTTATCATAAATACTACAGCAAGTCACTTATTGTTTGTTCTCTGCTCTCCCAGGTAGCTGTGTTCATGTACTATGGGTGCAAGATGGACCGCTTGGTCCTGCAAGTGTCCAGTCCATCCTTCCTAAAAAGTCCCCTACCTTACCATCCTCAGCTACGAGCCCAGGCCTGGAGGTATCTCAGCTACATTTTCATGCACACTGGGTGAGTTCAAATCTAGTGCTTTTCATAACTTTGCCACCATTCAGATTTTCTGATCTTGGAAACAACTTGGTGACATATTTTAGATGAAGTTATCTGCTACAGTGTGTTCATGTCAGCCTTTAGATCAAGGAGGTACGCTTGTAGCATTTTAGGTGGGATATGACATATTGATGAACACTAATTTGAAGTGCCGCATAACTGTGATGCCTGGGGGTCGTGTTACCTAAGGCATGTGATGTGCTGAAGTGAATCAGCACAAGTTACGCAACAGATTCATCAACAGAAATATACAGCAGTGACTTTTCGTTCAAACACACCGAGCAGGACAAAGAAGTAAGAGATGAGAAATGTAGTCGATGGATGCAGCCATTAATGTTGTCAATTCAGTGTCTGTGAAGTCACAAAACAAATGAACGTGGACTAATAATCATGTGGGATACTGAAAGAAACGGGTCCTCTAACAACTGTTTGTAGTTGGATTATTGTAACGTGTGTTATGTGTGCTCATATTTGAGCATAGAAAACAGTTATCTTTACAGGTACTCTTCACAAAAAAAGAGAAAACACCAAATATCAACTTGACAGATTTAATAAAACCACCTCTACATTTCTTCAGTCTCCTCCTCTCCTTCCCTCCTCCGCTCCTCTCCTCTCTGACTATATTATTATCTGTTCAGTTCAGGCCAGGTCATCCAGGTTTAATTACTCTTCTGGCTAAATGTAGTTTCAGGCGATAAAGAGAACTAATAAAATGGTAATTTAGTTAAGAGAACCTGGTTCAGTGCGAGGGCAGGGCTCGTGCACGGTGAAAAGATAAACTGGAAAGGATGGAGTGATGTTTAACACACCCCAATCACAGAGGAACTCACTGAAATGATTACGGTTCTCAAGGAAAGTGGCTGGGGGAAAAGGGACTGTTGGGATTTAAACAGTCTGACTGAGGAAACTATGTATAATCACTTGGAAAGAAAAGCGTCTGGACTTCTTTAAGTTGCGTGAAGACGTTTCACCTCTCATCCGAGAAGCTTCTTCAGTTCTAAGAGTCAAATGGTGGAGAGTCCCAGGTTTAAACCCAGTGGGAGTATCCCCCAAAAGATGGGCAAAAGGACCCCCTGATGATCCTCTGCCGAGTCACATGAGCCAAGGTGTGAAGACGGGTGTAGGTCACAATCAGCCAGGGTTTCAGGTGAGCTCATTGTGAAACCTGGCCCCACCCTATCATGTGATTTCCTGAGGTCAGATGGCCCAGGATGTGAGTGGCCGTTAAGGCGTCTGGGAAGGGATCTCAAAACTGGATTATAGATGGCAGACAGCTGGTGTCGTAAAGTACCGCCTCTGTTCAAATATGGTCGTTCACAGTGGACATAAATGGCTTCTTTCACTCCTCTTTCAAACCATCTGTCCTCTCTGTCCAAAATGTGAACATTGGCATCCTCGAAAGAGTGACCTTTGTCCTTTAGATGCAGATGGACAGCTGAGTCTTGTCCCGTGGAGGTGGCTCTTCTATGTTGTGCCATGCGCTTGTGAAGTGGCTGTTTGGTCTCTCCGATGTAGAGGTCTGGGCATTCCTCGCTACACTGTACAGCATACATCACATTGTTAAGTTTGTGTTTTGGCGTTTTGTCTTTCGGGAGAACCAGTTTTCGTCTGAGTGCGTTGCTGGGTCGGAAATGCACCGGGATGTCGTGTCGTTTAAATCTGGGACTCTCCACCATTTGACTCTTAGAACTGAAGAAGCTTCTCGGATGAGAGGTGAAACGTCTTCAAGCAACTTAAAGAAGTCCAGACGCTTTTCTTTCCAAGCTCCTTAGACTACGATGACCTGGATGACTGAGAACCTTCACAGACATATGTATAATCACACAAAGTGACATGAATTCAGCACAGTGCCCTTAAAGTTTGAAAGATGATCCCGATATTCAGCTTCACGCGGTCATGTAATGTATGCAGGAACTAGAGCAGGGCGATATGACCAAAAATATTTATCACGATATACATTTGAAAATTTGCGATAATGATATAACTGACGATATAATTGACACTAGACAAAATACTTTACAACTCCACAACTTTATTAGTGCAAAAAAACCCATCAATGTATTTTCACTTAAACAAGCAGCTGTTTTTATGTGCATTAAAGTTATATAAAAATGTAACAGTGCAAATGCAAATTCTTTGCTGACAGTTTAACCAAAAGGCATTTCCAGTGGAAAGTGACCGACATATCCTCAGCATAACCATGTATAATATCCACAAAACTTAAAAAGAGGTTATACACACGCAATACGGTAATATTATGTTGAAGCACAGTAGGTATCACTCCGCGAGGCTCCGCCTACGATAGCCGTAATGCTCCAACAATCCATCAAGCTGTGCGGCTTTGTAGCTTAGCAAAGTCGTACTGAAACATTTGACAGATTTTCGAGCGCCGTGTACATAAAATCGTTTCGAGGTCAGTAAACACAACCAGAATTCATACATAAGGCACACGGGATTATAAGGGGCACTGTCGACTTTCAGAAAAATCAAAGGATTGATTTTAAGTGTGCCGTATTTTCCAAACAATACGGTAACGCTAGCATGCTCTACCAAAAATAGTGCTTTGTTGTGTATCTGATGGACGAAAGCTAAACCAGTTCCACACCACTGAAGTTGCAGCATTTTTACAAACCAATTCTGATTCATCCGTTTCATTCAACGATCCACTTTCGCTCTTCTCATTCTGCGTCGCAGCCATGTGCGTATGTAAACATAGGCACAGCGCATGCGCGTTTTACCCATATTCTATCGCGATATGTCATTTTCCTATCGTTGCCCAAAATTACACTGGTATTACCGTGAACGGTATGACATAGCCCAGCCCTAGCAGGAACCCTGTTATGCGTTGTCAGAAGAGAAAGAGCTCAAAGAATCCTGATTAAAAGTTAATATAGATTCAAGATGGCTGCTGGGTGACAAGATTTGCTTTTAGGACTTTGGCTATAATGGAGAAAACATGGACCAGCTACTTTTCATAGCGGAGACCTATGAATGTGTGAGGTTTTGCACGAACAGTTTATTGATTAATCACAAAGAAAAAACAAACATATTTTAAAAGCATTACTATGATTGCAAAATTTAATCCTTAAATGTTCCATCATCTGTAGCTGGCTGCTCTCACCTAAACAGATATATTGCATATTTGCAATCAAGCTGCTGATTTGTGCTGTTTGCTTTCAGCAGCAGTAGCCCAGGTCGCACTTGATGATAGTCCACATAATTTAATCGCTAATAGCTGAACAAGTAGCTACCGCACAGCTGTGTGAAATCCATGATGCTGGTCTTTTTGATGCAGAGAATGATCGTTTATATCACACTGCAACAGAACTTCTTCAGCTTGTATGGATTGTGTTTTGTCAAAGATATTCTAACGCCTACAGACTGAAAATCAATATTCTTATTTATTCAGAGAATATAAACCTTTGATCACTGATTCACTCTGGATCTTTAAATAATGTTGAAATACATTCAGTTTTTATAGATTTTAGAGACAAAGTAACCCAATTCATATCACTTCAGATAGACTCATGCATCATCGAGTGTAAAGTGCACAAGTCTTGTCTTTCTTTATTTAGCTGTAATTGATTTAACACTGACAGAGAGCACAGACACAGAAATGGAGTGCCCTTTAACAAAAGTCAAGGCTGGTTTTCTGATTCATTTATCCAATGGTGCAGACGAACTTTGATGTGTATTGCAAGATAATACTCGGCGCTCACATTAAAAGTGGCACTGACAAAGCTTTGCAACTGACTGATACCAATATTTCCATATTTGAATTTTGCCCGCTTTCTCTTCTTGTTTCCCTGTGTCTCTCTCTCTCTCACTCACACACACACACAAACACACAGAAACAGAGAGTGAGAGTCTCACACACATCTACAAACCATGTAATCCTGTCAACAGCTCAGTACCACGGATCCCTCCAGTTCCCAACACTAAAACAAAATGTAAATATTGGCCCCAAAACATCCCTCAGCAGAGCAGACTCTCAGACAGACAGAGCCTGCTCTGCTCTCTCTCCCCTCGCTCTCACTTTCCATCACAAACACATGAAGGATGTCTGTAGCAAGTGTGAAGCCTTCAGAAAGATTAGTGCTTTTTGAGATTAAACCAGGACAAGTTTCTGCCCGGTTGTGTTTCTCTAGTTCTTAGTCTAATGTGGGAAGATGTAACCTACAATCAGAGGAGCCTGAGCAAGTGATGACAGTGTAATAATTTGTGGAAAACTGGCAAGAGATTGCACTCAGTTCAGCGCTAAAGTTGTTCCAATTAACGTGAACTAACAAGAAGGTTTTCTGTAGTTTGGTGAAGCAGCGATAAAGACAGTAAGATTCAACAGTGCTTTTGTTGAGTGCTCTGAAAGGCCACGGTTATCTCGACACAATAGGGCTTCTCATGGGTATCCACGGATCTGCCTGACAGTGCAGCCTGTTCCTCACAGCCTCATTAGTGGTATAGAAATATATAGCTGCTGTTATCTGGAGGGGAGTTGTTCTCTGAACAGGCTTCTCCCAGTCAATCAATATACCCTATTGTCTTTCTGATCGCTGAGCGATGCTTTATGTCGCCGTTGTAGTTGAGGTGGCTGCGTTGTTTCAAGCTAACTAGATTACTGGGCTCGCCTGAGTTGAAGGAATAGCATGTGTGTGTGTCAGACACACAGAGAGAGAGAGGTTATTTGTTTTAGGAAAGTTTTTGTTTATTTTTGTTTGAGTCTGTCTGTAAACACAGTGTTTACTGGAACCCTCTGTCAACCTGTCAAACAGGGGAAAAACGGGACTCCTACAAGAGTCATCACCATGTCTTTCTCTTCGTTTCTGTCAGCGCTCTCACACATTCACTGAAAAAGAGACGTCAGGATAATTTAGAAACAGAAAAACACACCAAGTGATTGAAGAGAGCGAGAGAGAGTTATCAAAGCCGAGACGCAGAGAGAGGCTGAGAGGCCAGATTATGCT